ATGTCAATAAGCTACTAGTTGATACAAGTATGTCAAGATAAGTCAATAAGCTACTAGTTGATTCAAGTATGTAAATGTAAGACAAAAACCACTAGCTGATACAAGTAATGTACAGATAAGTCAATAAGCTACTAGTTGATACAAGTAATGTAAAGATAAGTCAATAAGCTACTAGTTGATTCAAGAATGTAAAGATAAGTCAGTAAGCTACTAGTTGATTCAAGTATGTCAATATAAGTCAATAAGCTACTAATTGATTCAAGTATGTAAATATAAGTCAGTAAGCTACTAGTTGATTCAAGTATGTCAATATAAGTCAATAAGCTACTAGTTGATTCAAATATGTAAATGTAAGACAATAAGCTACAAGTTGATTCAAATAAGTCAATAAGCTACTAGTTGATTCAAGTATGTCAATATAAGTCAATAACCACTAGTTGATTCAAGTATGTAAATATAAGTCAATAGTCTACTAGTTGATTCAAGAATGTAAAGATAAGTCAGTAAGCTACTAGTTGATTCAAGTATGTCAATATAAGTCAATAAGCTATTAGTTGATTCAAGTATGTCAAGATAAGTCAATAACCACTAGTTGATTCAAATATGTAAATATAAGTCAATAAGCTACTAGTTGATTCAAGTATGTAAATATAAGTTAATAGTCTACTAGTTGATTCAAGAATGTAAAGATAAGTCAGTAAGCTACTAGTTGATTAAAGTATGTCAATATAAGTCAATAAGCTACTAGTTGATTCAAATATGTTAATAAGCTACTAGTTGATTCAAGTATGTAAATGTAAGACAATAAGCTACTAGTTGATTCAAGTACGTAAAGATAAGTCAATAAGCTACTAGTTGATTCAAGTATGTAAATGTAAGACAATAAGCTACTAGTTGATTCAAATATGTCAATATAAGTCAATAAGCTACTAGTTGATTCAAGTATGTAAATGTAAGACAATAAGCTACTAGTTGATTCAAATATGTCAATAAGCTACTAGTTGATTCAAGTATGTAAATGTAAGACAATAAGCTACTAGTTGATTCAAGTGTGTCAATATAAGTCAAAAGATACTCTTTGTTTCGAGTTTGTTATTAGTTCATTCGAATATGTAAAGATAAATCAAAGAGTAGTAGTTGATTCGAGTATACCAAGATATAGCTAGGTGCATGTAGTTAGTTGATTCGAGTATATCAAGAAGCTATTAGTATTTTTAGATAAATAAAAAAGTTAATAGTTGATTCGAGTAAACAGGTGTGGTTATGTCGTACAGAGAGTACTATAAACAGGTGTGGGTAGATGATCCAGAGAGTACTTTATACAGGTGTGTGTAGATAATACAGACAATACTGTATACAGGTGTGAATGGATGAAAGAAAGAGTAACAAAAAACGTCAGAAAAGATACAAAATGAGTTTCAGACACTTGTACTTACATTCATCTACTTGCAGTGAATGACAAATAACATAAAACATGTTCTGTTGAGGGTAGACTGTTGAGATAAAGAATGAGCAAAGATATCATGACATCATCATAAAGTGATACTCTAGGCAGCTACACAGGAAATAACTACTTAATCTAATAAATCTAATTGCTAAGTAAACCTTCACTTGTTCACTATTACATTTATATTCTCTAATAACCCCATACAACTTGATATCAAACCGGGAAGTATATGGTGTAATAAAACAGACATTACAAAGCGATTTAATTTATATCGGTTTTGAGGTGAGGTTTTTCGCACAAAACAGTTACCGTTTGCTTTGATATTTTTAAAATTGCCGAGCTTTCCTCAGTGCACTGAACAAGGTACTGACTTTCGATTTAGTTGTATTAATTGTTAATGAACTCCTTAATTGCAACATATTAGCAGTCTATAAATATGCTCCAACTCCGTAGTTTTTTTACAAATCGAAGTATAGCACATTTTATTTCACTGGAGAAGACAATAACGTCAAATACGGTATATTTATCGAGACGCCATCTAATTTAAGGTTTCGATAATACAATAACGAATATTTTAAACAGCAGTAGATACCCAAACAGTCTATTCCCAGAATACCATCCTGAACTAGTTACCAAGATACTTCACTGAAAAGCTGTACTGTCTGAAGGGGGAGCCACCTATCACGCTCCACATCGTTTTACATAATATTTAATCTTCTCGCAACGGGATCATTCTTTGAAGGATTCTCATAGGCATTCTTGAAGAAAATTTGCTTGGCTACAGAACACTTACTGTGTATAGAAATATGAAAACAAAACTCAATATGAGATCCATTACTGAGTGAAACTTTTAAGGGTTAACAGCGATCTTTGAAAAACACACACACACACAAGTGTTTCTACACAGTCCGTAATGAATGTTGTGGTTGTACACTGCCCTATTCAATAATGTAGAACTTACTGAAACAGACTATACTGTTCAAGATAATCAGCACATAGCCTATACAAAAGTGTCAGTTTTAAAACAACTATAACAAAGGATATGTAACGATGTACATTTCGCAATGCAGTTAACAGACAGAGTTTATAATAACATATTACATTTTCTAGAAGACTTACTAAAGATATGTAACAGCATAAATTAGACAGGGTATGTAACAAGACAAATTATGTGACAATGTACATATTTCAGGATGTTTAACAGAAAATTTACTAAGATATGTAACAATGTATATTTGTAGTGTATCTAAAGGACGACATATATAAAATATATCATTTCCGTGATATTTAATGAGCAGGATATAGTCTAAAAACTTTTTCCAGGATATTTATTAAAGATCCTGGAAATTTAATAAGTCATCATCTATTATTTCTAGAATATAGGATAAATAAATGTTTTTTTGTATATTTTTCAACATAAACAACTATGCAAAATTGTCAAGGAAGGTTATTTGACAGGACGTGTGACAATGTAAAAGTTTCAGGATGGGAATATAACAGTGTATTTTTCAGGATATGTTAAAATGCAACAATTAGTGTGCCGGATTACGGATCTGCGGGTCAAACATTCGCGTCCCGTTACCACAAAAACAAAAACAAATTGCTCTCCACACTTTAGGGCCCAGGATACGCTATAACAGTGACAGTCAAATTGTGGGGCCCAGGATACGCTATAACAGTGACAGTCAAATTGTGGGGCCCAGGATACGCTATAACAGTGGCAGTCAAATTGTGGGGCCCGGGATACGCTATAACAGTGACGGTCAAATTGTGGGACCCAGGATACTCTATAACAGTGACAGTCAAATTGTGGAGCACATGATACGCTATAACAGTGACAGTCAGATTGTGGGGTCCAGGATACGCTATAACAGTGACAGTCAAATCTCACTATTCAGTTACAAAAGAGTTAGTGGTGGGTGCTGTTGACTAGGCGCCTTCTCTTTAGATTATCAACTTAAAATTAGTGACGGCTCGCGGAAGCAGCTCTTGTGTAGCTTTGTGCAAACATCTGAAAAACGAAACAGTTGTTAAACTGACAGAATACATAATAACGTTCTTTTCCCAGTTTTTCAATCAATACACATGAAATGAAACAATGCAGTATTAATAAAATGATGGAGAGACAAGTTATCTAACAAAGCGCTTTTTTCAGGATATTCATTAGAAAGGATACGCAAAAAAGTGGTTTCTGGGATAGTGATGGATAAATGACGTGAAAATGAGAAACTTTCAGGGTAGTCTAAAGATACATTTGTAACAACGCGCTATTTTTAGAGATATTTAATGAGTAGATTATCTAACAATGAATAATTTCAATGGTATTTCATCTTTCGGAGTATTTTATATACATGATATGTATTAATATCCATTGTTTGGCATAAATTGCGCAATATTGTACATAGTTTAAAGAACAAGATACGATAATGTAAGACCACTTTATTATTATCAATACATTTATTAACTTTAAATATAAGAGGCTTCATGAACAATGAAGTAAAATAAGTAAAAACAGTCAACACCAAAGTTTAAAGAGAAGAACTACTATAAATGCCGGTAATGCTGAGTTAATGCAATGAAACGTTGTTGGATTTTTGTTATCCCTGTTTTTATCCGTACTTAATACTTTTGATTTACATTTATTAAGTAAAAAGTGTATTGTCCAAAGTACTTACTAAATGATTACAATCGGCTTGAATATGATATGTATCACGTATAAGTACATATTTGGATTTACACAAGTGTATGGTTTGGTGTGTAGGAACAGATTAACGTAAAACACATACAGCACTTACATTTAATATATTTTTATAAAATATCATTTACACTAAATATATGTTTTGCGAAGAAGGTGCCGTTAAGGTTGAAAATACCATTAAATGTATCAAATATACAGGATGGACCAAAATTATCTTTTCTATTTTACAGTTTCACAATTAAATAACTAAAGAACTACAATCATGCAGTTTTCGACATCTTGTAACCCAACTCAAACAGTTTTTATTGTCAAGTGTTTTATTGCAGTGAATAGTGTTACCCCACAAAATGGCAACCATGCAAGAAAAGGCTCAATGCGATGGATTGGTAGGGGTGGGCCAGTTCCATGGCCAGATATCCCTCTACTTAACTTCTTTCTTTGGGGGTATGTTAAAGGCATCGTATATCACATATCTATAGCAAACGTCACGGAGCTAAAAACCAGGATAACGGATGTCATCGCCACTGTAACTGTGGACATGTTGCAGCGAAAGCGGACTGAAATCGACTATCGGTTAGACACGCTGAGAGCCACTAATTGTGCACATGTAGAAGTCTACTGAAATGCCATTAAAAACTATTTGAGTTGGGCTACAAGATGTTGAAAAATGCCTAGTTGTATTTATTTAGTTATTTAAATTTCAAAATAGGAAATAATTTTGGACCACCCTGTATTATACACAATTGTAACTGCAGGAATATATGGATTTAGCATTGTGCGCAGAAACTTCACTAAGAAGCAGCTTATTGGTAAAATGGTAAGGATGGTTATCTTATGGTACCAAAACAAACTTACTTGACCCCATGCTTGAGAAATTTGGAAGACCACTAGAAAAAAAGTCCAGTTAACAAAGGCTGTTGCCATGATTTGTAGTTAATATTGTAAGTTCTCTGCGAAGATAAAGAAAAACAAAAAGTTTTAACACAGAGTTTTCTTTCCTTCAGGTTAACGTTTACTCACAAAACTTTTGAATATTTCAGAGTTTCATCTGGCTAAAGCGGATTCCTTGTTGAGCGTGTTGTCGATGTTCCAGGTTGGATTCTCGATAATAATTAAGAGTTTCAACAAGATCAAGCTTGAGACAGCATTCAATGACATACGATCAGTTGTCTCTCTGAGTCCACAATGATACTAAAGAAAATGATAACGTCTTATTATGAAACTGAACTTTTCACAAGCTCGTAGGCGTCAACCAGTGCGGTTATTGCCTTGCCTGCATGCATGCACGCGACAACAGACAGTGGGTGGAAGTAAGCGCAGAAACTGCTAATTGTTATCTAAACACTGTGAGACAAACAGACTTAAAAATAGCGCATGCGCTGGGGTAAAATCACAAAACCAAAGGACAACAGATAGTAGTTTTTGTGTTGTGTGACCTTCCTGCAGTCTAAGTTGTGGCTTATTCTGGTTCACAAAGTTAAAAAAAACAGGCTTGATAGTGGTTTATGATTAGCATAATATACTTTTTTGTTGACCGCCCGGCATGCACGTAGTCCCGTACCGAACCGGCCACTGTTTTATCTTTAGTTGCTGTGATTCGTGTAAAAACTTCGTTAACCAAACAGTAAATCTGGTTTTATAATGGCCTAAAAGAAGAGTTCAGGCAAACTGTTAACTGTTGTAACACGTAATGTACATAAATTCATAAAACATAACCATTCTTCAAAAGTCACTGTGTAATTAGTCTTTATATAACACTGAGAAACTTTAATTTTAATACATAGTCATACAATCTTCTTTACATTCGTTCCTCTGTTACTTCTTTTCTCCAGTAAACAATATGGTTGCTTGACACACTCCGAGAACAAGAACACTGGTTTGTTGATTTTCCAGTTCTTCTGAATGATGAGTAAAATGAATTAAAAAAAGCAAAATGTAGGTAAGAGTAATAATTTACATTGGTGTTAGAATTAAAAATAATAATAATGTATTATTAACCCTTGTCCTAATTCTGATAAATAAATGACTTAAATAAAGTTGTTTTTTGTTTGTTTGCTTTTAAATGCAAAGTTACGCAACGGGCTATATGTACTCTTCCCACCCGCAGGTTTCAAACCTGATTTTTTTAGCGTGGAAAGAACTTAGACTTTCCGCTGAGCTACCGAGGGCAAAATAAATAAAATTTATAAAAATCATACCTCATCACATTATAACAGTTGTCGTTTATGTAATTTTATAACATAAAAACTTCTCAATCACTATTGTGTCTGTTGTATCTCACCTGCTTGATGAGTCCGGGTATTGAACGAAAGGCCTCGTCGGCGAGAAATTAATCCATTGTTTGGCTTTGCGTTAAGAAAACAACGACATTCTATTACCACAGAACAATAAAATTTATGTCTTAATCACATTTTTATTAGAACAGAGAAATTGGACTCAACAAAAAAAATATTCAAAAACTAATATTACGGATAATTTTATTACAGTGTTAATGATTAACCTAAAAATACCAGGGTGTTTGTAATACATATATTACATAAAATTGTAGTGAAATACCAAAAATAGAATATCAGCAAATTGATATGTTAATAAAATAAGTCGATTTTAATAGTAATTATGAATATACAAGATGCATATAAAAAGTTTGTTGCAATACTACAAAATATAATTAAATCATCTAAAAAACCATGAATGACAAATGCATTGCTGAAATCTATTCCACATAGAGATGAAATATGTGAAAAATAAGAAAAAATAAAACACCAATTTATAGTGAATTAGTTGAATTTTAAAACTATAGAAATTATCTAAATAATCTTTTAGAACAAACAAAAATAAACTAATATAAGCAAAAAAAACTTGACAGTAAATTAATATTAAAAACAATCAAATATAGTTAATGGGAGTACTGGAAGAAAATAAGTTCAATAAAACTTGATTGGATTTCAATAGATAATAAGAATATTAAATTTAATGACAGCTCCAATTATATGCAAGTTATTTTAATGAATTTTTCGTAAGTAGTGCAAAGGAAATTAAGATTCAAAATTGTTGTACATGCTTAAATATAGATCAGTTACGAGAAAAAAATTATAAAACTGTATATTCAATCTATCTAATACCAATTGATGAATATGAAATTATGAAAATTATAAATTCTTTAAGAAATAGAAAACTGTAGGAAATAATAAAAAGTATAGATAGAAATTTAAAAAAACAGTATTGATAAATCAGATTAATAATAAGATATTTAGTTACATGGCAATGGCAAAAGAAGTTCTAAAGACATTTTTAAAATATGGTATCATTACACCAAAATTTAAAGGAATTAGTAAAAATTATCTAAATAACTACATATCAATTGTTTTATGATCAATTATATCAAAACATCTTGAAAAAGTAGTTAAGAAAGATTGATAAATCTTTAAGACTAAACATATTTTTCTCAAGTGCACAATTCGGATATAAGAAAAATAGGAATGTAGAAGTTATAATACATAAGATAATCAATAAATTAAATTATTTTGTTAATAATGATAAATTAACATAAATTTGTTTGTTAGATACTTCAAAAGCTTTTAATGTAATTTGGCAAAAACCTTTATTAAAATAACGATATAAAAGTAAAATAAGAGGTATTGTTTTAAAGTCGTTTAACTTATACATATTAAAGAGAAAAGAAATAATTAGAATTAATACAATCATGGGCAATGAAATGGAAATTAATTTTGGAGTACCCCAC